ATGACACTTGGATAAGAGAAAAGTATTAATTGTGACATTTCCCAGGGGGCAACTGCTGATTATCTTAATGTCAAAGGTTAGAGCAGTAGAATCTTAACTAGAACATTTTTCTGAACGTAATCTTAAGAATATTAAATATCTTGCTGGTCATCCTTGTTTTGCTGCTCAGTTTGTATTGGAAATTGTATGTTTGGAAAAAATTATAACAGAACTATAAGCAAACAGGAAGTTCAAGGTTCCCTTCGCATACATATCATTCTGCCTGATTTAGCAGAAACTAAAGATAAGTCCGATCGAGGTGGTTTCTGGTAGAAGGGAACGAAATTATCATGTACATAGACCGGGAATTTGTTAAATAGGTACTTCCAGAACCCACTATATATAAAATGTGATAAATAATAATTCTTTAAAAGAAACTAATAACAGCCGTTAAATATTGTGCTTAAATAAAAATCTATCGTCGTAAAAGCCTATATTTATTTAATTTAACAATTATATGAAATTGCCACAAATGAAAAAACCAAAAAACGGTTCTTTCATGTATTTATTAACTAACTACAGTCGATCCCCTATATAGCCACCTCCTATATAGTCACCCCTTATAAGCACATTTTGTTAGATCATATAACTAGGTGTGACTATATAGGGATAATATCGGAAGATTTAGGATACATCGGGATCGCCTTATTTACGATTGTATATTAAATCTGAAACATTTAGGATTTGGAAATGACGTGATATGTAGATTTACTGCAGAAGTTTTAGCTTGTCTAAACTATCTAGACCAACATCTATTCGGTAGTCAGACATCATTATACTTGTACGAGACATGCAGTGTCAAAAATAAATTAACAATAACCCTAGTAAATCCGTCGTGTTTCCATGATGCAAATATGGATGGTCCTTGAAATTCTGAACGAAAATAATTATTAGATTGTAAACCCAGAAATGGCTTCACAGACACAAGACAGTCCAAGAATCTGAATACAATAATCATTCAGAGGAAGTTTCGAGGCACTAAATTTGTACTCCGTGTGGCTCTAGATAAAACACGCGTCCTTGGACGATAGTAACGTTTTACACAAAAAGTTATGACCGATATTGGAGATAAGATGACATCTGGAACTGCTTTGCGAATTGGGTGGGAAATAGCACTGGGAAGAAAATAATGTCTGAATATGAGACAAAAAGATTTTTATACAAACTTGTAAATAATGTATGTATAATATTGATTACAATTTATAATTATACATAAAACTTTTTATTAAGTTCAATTTCTTTATTAAATAATTTTCACTGCACTGTTTATAGAATTTTTTTCTTTTTTTTTTTAAAAAAAAAAAAAAAAAAAATTTACAAAATTAAACCTTATGATAAGAAATTCCGAAAATAAAAATAGATTATTATTAATATAAAAAAATTAAAATTAATTACCCTTATACATGTTTGACTCGTTTTCATGCTTGATTTGCTTCTTTGCATGAGATTCGTGTTACCTACCAATCAGGTCATATTCATTTACAATTACAAACCAGAATCTAAAATTTATGACTCCCGTGCCTGCACCTATTGGGTTAATATGGATTGTGATATAACGATAAATTTGTATAAAATCCTTGACGCTTTTTCAGATACCTTTCTCGTAAGGCATTTACCAGATTGATTCCATATATTTCCGAAATCAAAAGACAATAATGGATTAGATCACATTTTTTTACTTGTAGATTTCTCACTAAAACGGATTTAAAATAACCAATCCCAAGGAACTTTCAATAAATTATCAGAAAATTTTCATATCGAAATACTAATGTGCAACCGCTGTCAAACCTTAACTTTTAATATGATAAATTTTTTAAATTAAAAAATAAACACCTTTAGTTATTTATAAATTTATTTAACTATCATATAAATAAAAACAAATTAATTTTAGACAAGTAATTATAGTGTTATTCGTTCACTTTTAACGAGTTAACACCGATCGGATCATCTCAAAACTTTGATGTAACATGTTCCTTCAACGAATTGTGTGTGACATATGCTAATTCATGTCTGAGAATAATGTGACAAAAAGAATATGCACGTGAAATTGTACCGAAAATATATCACGAAAATACATATTATTAAAATAACAATTATAAAATAACAAACAATGATAAATTTTTTTTTATATATTTTATCCAAAATATCCCAAAATAATACGCCCACTTTGACAAAATATTTCGGTAGATCAATTCCACAAATTAAGACTTGTTATACTTTTTGTCACTTTTACAGTATTCGTATTCCTGAATGACCGGATGGTCGGATTTCGCCTCCGAATTTGAAGTCCTACCCTAGATTATATAGGTTGGCACTTGCATTAAATTATTTGAAAACCTTTTTTCTTTTCCTACTTCAAAAAATCTCAAACGAACGATCTTTATATTTCTATAAAAAAAAAGAGAGAGAGAGAGAAAATTTCAACCCATTTTCTCAATATAATTTTTAATTTATAATTTATTACAATGCCTTGTAATCCACTTTTCGGTAAAAATAGACCCTTACACCGTAAATTAGTGGTGTTAGGTGACGGCGCTTGTGGTAAAACTTCTCTTTTAAATGTATTTACAAGAGGTTATTTTCCACAGGTATGTTTACAAGTCATTAATAGGTTCTTGTGGGTTATTCTTTTTTGTAGAGAAGGGACGGAAAAATTTAGCCTTCGACTGTTCTTGAACAGATTTAAAGAAATTTCCCTTTTAGGTTTCTTCAAAAGTTCAACTGAATAATTTAAGCATTTATTTCAAATTTTCTTTTCTGACATTATACTCCTTCCTTTTTTTTTTTTTTACCTTTGCTTTTGTTAGGTATATGAACCAACGGTATTCGAAAATTATGTACATGATATATGGATTGATAACCAACAAATTGAATTATCCCTTTGGGATACAGCAGGTAATAAACTCAATTAGCAAGGGAACATAATTTAACAAAAATTTTAAACCATAATTTTGTAATTTCTCCTATAGGCCAAGAAGAATTTGACCGGTTACGTTCTTTATCTTATGCTGATACACATGTTGTTATGTTGTGTTTTGCTGTGGACAATCGAGACTCACTTGAAAATATTGAGTCAAAATGGATGTCGGAAATTACTGAACATTGTCCAGGTGTCAAGCTTGTCTTGGTTGCCTTAAAATGTGACCTGAGGGAGGATAGTAATATTATAAAATGTATGCAACGATATGGTGACAGGCCGGTTACTTATGAAGAGGTAACTAACATAGCGTGTAGCGTCTTAAATGAGATGAATCTATGTATGTTATTAACTTGTACTTTTTTTAAAAAAAAAATGTCTAGGGACTCCATGTAGCTCAAAATATCAATGCATCCAGATATTTAGAATGCTCTGCGAAGCACAATAGAGGTAATTTTAAGTTTGATATATTTCTATTTAGAATTCCTTTTGTTCATAAAAGAGAGTATCTTAAGGCAAAATTTTTATGTCTAGGCGTACGAGAGGCCTTTGAACAATCAGCCCGTGTGAGCATTCACGCAAGACCAAAAGGTGCACCACATGATCCAAGCAATGTGAGATGCATAATACTTTAATAATAATCACATTCTTTGGAAATGTAACAAAAAAATTTAGGACATTCTGTATTTTTACTTTCTATTATTCATATTCATCATATATAATTTTCGGAAGGAGTAATCATGTTGATTGGCGTAATTGATCTATCAAGGTCAAAACATTTTTATTCTTTTTTTTTTTTTATGACAAACAAGATAATTATATATCCTTTTTTTTTTCCTATAAGAGATTTTTTTTTTCCGCCATTTTATAATTTTTTCTTTTTCTTTCACTCAATCCTTATCTTATTTTCATCAACAATCACATTACACCACATCACTTTTCTTTCATTAATATATTATTTTTTTAAAAAATTTTTTTATTGTAATATCGAATTTTCGGTGTTTATCAAAGGCTGTTTGAAATTTTAAATGGTAAAATTGTCAAAAAAAAATAATTAAAAAAAAAAAATTTTGATAATTTGGGGAAACTATGTTAAATGTGCTGAGGATGATTGTGAGAATATCAAGGGAGGCAAAATGTCAAATTTGGGGGGTAATAGAAGTATAGGATAATCTTGTTTAGATTCACATAAATACGCGCGTTAATATATTGTAAATGATATCAACAATAGATTTTCCTGATTTATTATAAAAAAATACAATGGTGGGATGATTGCTGATTTCTAATAAAAAAATAAAAAATAGGTTTTTGTTTCTTATAGAATAACGACATGCATACGTAAACGGATGAATGAAATTAAGTTTATCATCCTAACTTTTTAAGGAAGAAAAAATTCCGATTTGGATAACACAATGAGAAATTGTCATTTGACGCAACAAATTAAGAACCCAAATATTTTTATATTTCAATATTTTTTTTATATAAATACAATAATTTGAATGGGAGATAAACCACAGGTTCTACTTATTGAAAGTCGAATAAATTAAAAAATGTTTTTGATTATTAAATTTAAATAAAGATTCGCTTATTTGGAACCACAATTGTCATCTAATTCTTTCTCTTCTTTTGTCAAACGCATTAAAGTAGCTTCAGCTAACAGTTCACGTTTTGTTAATCTACGATCCGTACCTACACCACCAAGAACAAAAGTTCCACCTTGCCAAGATTTTTCATCGATTGCTTCTTCTTCAGGAGCATTATAAAATTCATCATTTGATATTTTGTGACCTCCTGATGCTGTCCAATCCAATTCAACTAATATATTAAAGAAAAATCTATTAGTTTAAGAGAAACCTTTTATTTTCTCCGTATGAATTAAGATATTGAAAATGATACTTGCCAACTTCCTTGTTGAGTTGTCTGTTTAACCGATGAAAATTATCATCATGATCACCCCAAACATTATGAACCAATTCATGTAATAAAACTCTTCTAATTTCAGGATAATGCCTAAAACCTTCCATATCATCTGTACGTAATCTTAATGTAATTAACTCTCCACGATTTTTATTAAATCCCAGAATATCTTTTTCTACCGGGGATAATTCTCGTAAAGTACCAACATTCCATTTATACTTTTTCATTATTTCTCTAATTCCGTTATCATCTCTCAATTTTTCCAACAATACACGTGCCTTCCCGGATTCAGGAAATTGTTCTATTACTTGTATATTATGAAATGTATAATTGTGTTCCGATAATGTCGACTCTTTATTCCTTATATCCTTATATGGCTATAAAAAAAAATATGTGTGGAGGAACGATTCAATTAGAAAAAAAATATTTTTCTTTTTGTCTTTTTTTAAAAGAAATATTATATAATTCGACTTACATTGATTGCAAATTTTGATTTCGATTTGTTAAAAGGTTGATGTATCACTTTTGAATCCGCAAGCTTGATGTTTTGAATGTCTTCTGGTGAACTACCTATTAACATTACTTTAATTCCAGATTTAAAATTACACTCTCGTAACGTTTTAGTATCGGATAACACAACTATATTTATTGTTATTTTATTTTATTTTATTATTTTTTAAAAAAAAGGGTTAACTAAAGAAAAAGTTAAATTTTGACATAAAATTACAAAAACAAATAAATCTTACCTTTGTATAATAATTTTTGAAATTCGGAAGGCATGCCAATACTTTTGGCAAGGAATTCTTTTAATTCATGTACTGTATTATCAAGAGACCACGATTCCAACGGTATGATCCTTCCTTTGTAATTTACTTGAAAAGAAACTATTTGAAGGAAGAGAAAAGAAAAAACATAATAAAATGAGTATAAAATATATATAGATCGATTGAAAAATATCCGATAAAAAAAAAAAAAATTTTACTTGTGTCTTGAGCCATTTTAAATATAAATAATATTTTTTTTGTTTTAAAAAAAAGAAAAATGAAGTGTATCAAGAAAAATAATAAAGTGGGAGCGACGGCAGAATAGCATTTATTTTAATGTATTTATATGGCAAAATTATTAATTATCCTTACAAATTCCATTCTTTCTTATTTGGTATAAATCGAATCTTCTGGTCGTTTAATTTAACATTATTTTGGAACCTTTCACGTGTCATATTTCTGAGGCGCGGATTTATAATCTCCAACCTGGAAAGTAAGGAGTTTCCCCGCTTTCCTTCTCGATTTTCGGTCAGGAAAAAAAAAAAAATAAAATAAAAATAAAAAGTTTAATTCCTTTAAAATTTATGTCCAGCAAATTAAGTTACAGATTTTATTTTTTTTTACATAAATGTACATATATAGAATTGTATGATGTTTTTTACATGAAATTGTTGAATGATTCATTAAATATTACAAGGGTTTTATGATGTGGTTTTTTTTTTTTAAAAATGAATGAAAATTTTTTGTATGATGATCTTATATCTATTAAAAATTATCTTTTACGCCGTTCTTAAATTATTTAAATTCAAAACCTTTTTTTTTTTTTTTTAAAAAAAAAAAAAAAGTTTTAAGCCATAGAATGGTTATGATTTTCCGATTCACGTCCTGTCCTTGCATTATTTCTCTTCTCTTTATACCAAATAATCATTACCAAAAGTCCAATAGCGAACCAATATACAAAGTAACCAACCGTTGTTCCGAGAGTGGCCTTGCTTCTCCATCCATACAAGGTTTTCATAATCCCCCAGAATTCATTTGTCTTTGGATCACAACATTCAAGTTCCCATAAAACCTGCTCGTTAGCTCCCATTGATTCTTGAAACTCATGTATCGAAGTGGAGAAAAAACCGGCGGCAATGAATAAAAGTAGGGTGGTTGTGATGGCGAAAAATAACGTGACCGGTAATATGTTCGATCCCTTGTAGATGAGATATCCGATTGATAATCCGGACATGATTCCCAGGATAATAGGAATTGGAAATCCCGAAGATGGCTTATCTAATCCGACCTAATTGGTAAAAAGGATTTTTATCTATTGTACTGTGTATATACATACACACAAAAAGAGGATGAAGATTACTTTAATAATACTTACACCGGCGATGAACACAATAGATTCAACGGTTTCACGGCATATGACGGAGAATGGTAATAATATCAAAGCCCATCTGTTCCCTTGTTCATGTCTTTTAAGATACTGTTCGGTGGCATGTTTCAGTCTACCTTCCCATTTTATTCTCCATTGTTGGACTTGAACCATACTCAAGGCCACCAAGGTGAGAACAATTGTGGCGATAAGTGAGAACGTTCCCTCTATTTGTTAAAATGCAATAATAATAATAATAATAATATCATCATGTTATTATTTATTAAAAGCAAAAGGTATTATGTGATGAGAAGCGTGATATTACCCCACGCGGCTCCACTATCTTTCCAGAGATTCCTCGCGATCGAGTAGAATACGATAATAAAGACAACACCAAGAATTATGGATACTCCTAAACCAGCAACGGTTCCAATCAATATTTGCCTTATAAGTTTCTTTTTAAATAAACTTTTCTCTTCCGGAATCAATTTATCAATGAATCCTAAGAGGACCGCAAGGACAATTGTAACCTCAAGAGTTTCTCTTAAAAGAATGAAATAAGCAGGCACATCAAATAAATACATTTTTTTTTTTTTATTTTATTTTAACGAAAAAAAAAAAAAAAGAAAATAATTTATTTTATGAGGGAGGGAATTCCTGAAGAAAATGACAAAAAAAAAAAGGTTTTTTATAACGCTTTTTTTTTTTTTTTTTGTTTATTATCGATCGACATTTAATCACTTTAATCACTTCTTGAGATTATCACAAGAAATATTTATTGGACAAAACTAATAAAAAAAAAAAAAACGTAGTGTCATTGTTTACTTTGTTGATGATTATAATGATTTAGTCATGTATTAATTTGAGCTGTTCAAGAAAAAAAAATTTTTTTTTTTTTTTCAAAAAAAAAAAAACTTTCCAATTAAAAAAAGAAAAAATTTTCGATCAAAAGAACATGCCTTTAGTATATTTTAATTACCGATAACTACAACTAAATAATGCAGCAACGAAAAACAAAAATAAGTTTATACTGTCATGGTAATTATTCGTTTCAAAAAAAAAAAAATTATGATCATTTGGGTATTTATGACGATCAATCAAATAAATTGTTACATTCAAAGACGTTTTTCTTAAAAGAAAAAAAACGGGAGTTTTTCAAAATTTATGTATTACAAATAGACTTTCTTTGTTGCAATAAAAAAAAAAAAAAAAAATTTTAAATTTAATTTTTCGCCTCAATTCGAAGAAAATGAAAACTTATTTGGGTCAAATGTAAATTTAGATCATAATCGAAATTTCCTTGGCAATTGAAAGGTTTCCCCTTAAATTATTTAAATTATTTAAACGAAAAGGCACAGTAAACAAATAACATAATTATTTATGTCATTCATCGAGTTTTAATCTCTTTCTTAAATCGTCATTTCCCGTTTTCTCAGACCCTTTTCCTTCTATATTTAATTAACCTTGCATGATTGTTTTTCCGTCGTTTCTCGTTTTCGCGTTTCACCACTATCATATATTAGGAACATTGCGTCTTTAATTAACTGTAATCTATTAATTCAGAGTCAAATGAAATAAATATTTTTAAACAAAGAAAATTTTCTTTGTTAAATTAAACGGTTTAATTATTGGTCAGTCTATTAGGATCATGTTGATTTTGATGGACTGATACTTTTTGCCAACGGCTAAATATCAAATGTAATTGCAAATATATAGACTTTAATTATTATTATTAATTTAAAGCATGATCTTGTGTACCTGACACAATAAACTAGTTATTGGTTAGGGTGGATAAAATATCGTGTCACCCGATATTTTACCCCCCAACCAATAACTATTATTTAAATATACTATGTTGCTATTTATTTTACTGATTGTTATTTTTTAACAATTGTATTTTATATTATCTGATTATTAATAACAAATAGTATTGGTTTAATTCATTGTAAAAAGCATTCAGGTGTTCCCAAATAAAAGGTGTTGTGGTCCATTTAGGATTGTGAATAGTTTATTACCCTTTTATTACCATTTTCACATGTTTGGGTAAGATAATATCAATGAGGGTTTTACATCCATTTTGGAATGATTGTACCAAAGAGATATTGAAAAGGTTGTGATTATTCACAAGAATTGGCTTTGCAGCTTCACTTTTGAATTTATTGAATGGAATTTTGTTAAATATGATACAAAAGTTGTGATACTTAGTTCAGATATTAATGTTGATAATACTGAATCTGATAAGCTTGCTAAAGACTTATTATCAATCATTATTATCTTCACAGCAGCTAAAAATCAAAAATGATAAAGAGAGATTGAAAACATGAAAGATACAGATTTATTCAATGCCTAAAGAAAATGAAAAACTAAGAAAGTAAATAGAAACTGTGAGATAGATATACAATAAAGTTCTTGAGATAATGCAAGATAATAGGATTACTAACATAAATATTATACGAGAGTATTACTTAAATAATAAGTGCTTTATTAAAGAATTTTTATGAATAAAAGAGACTTCTAAGAAGATATATTTATACATGATCTGATAATTGATGAACACTTACAAATAAATAAACAAAAAGATAATTTTAGAATGAAGTATCAATTGAAAAAGAATCAAATACAAACTATCTTAATTCTTATCAAGGATTAGAATAAAAAAAGAAAAGAATACATATTCCTAAAGAGTTAAAATAAAGTTAAAAAACAAAAGTTATGATTTCAATGATCAATTAATTAAGTGAAATAATAGCTATATTAATAAAATATTAAGAAATATGACAAATTACAAAGCAACAAAGATCTTGCTTTAAAAAGAACAAACAAGAGAAAAAGATTTTAATTGAGAAAAAAGATGTTGCAAATCATACAATAAATCCATAATTTGATAATGAGTGCTATCATCAGCTGACTGATGGTTATGTCAGAATTATAAGATCATTTTATTACTTAAATTTGCAATATCACATATAGTATTTAAGAATAAAAAAAATCTAATCAAAGATAGTACGTGTAACATTAATCTGATCGCATTTTAGATTTTGAATGTTTCTTTTACATAAGATAAGAGAGTACAATTATTGAAATATCATTAAATGTATTGAGGAATACACTTCTAAGATATGTGGAAATTGCTGATAAATTAATAGCAAACTGGGTAGTTCTAAGACCTTTAGTGCAATTTGTATGAAGTGAAGATGAATTAGAATGCGAATAGGATGAGAAACATCTTACTCAAATTGTTGACAGAAGGTCAGGTTTTGGCTTGACTGGGATTTAAATCTTTATGGGATACAATATGACTAACTCTGTTTATTCATGTTAGATTCAATTTCAAGAGAAGATACGATACTAGAAAAATAGAACAAAAGACAATTAATCATATGATAATCATCACTGTAAATCCTTTGATAATTGTTTAAATCCAGAGAAGGCATTAATTATCTCAAAAGTTGGTTATGCAATAGGTATACAAAGTTTATAAAGTATAGAAATGTTATAATTTCAAACTTTTTTAGTTGTTTTTTTTAAAAAAATACGATTAGCATATTTATCACGTGAAATCACAAGATAAGTTTAAAACTAGTTTTAAGTTCAAACCAAACAAAACTAGGCCATCCCTATTCATAAGGTTAAACATGAAAATCACTCCCGTGCGAATCGCGTCATGTGACGCAGTAGATTTCCCGCTTATTTATTTATTCAATCACCATTACTCTCGTTACTGCTATACAATTGACATCTTAAGTATAATAAATTACAAACAGATAAATAAATAAGGGTGATGATGAATTACAAAAAAAAGATAAAAATCCTTCAAACTAATGAATTCAATCAGATTACCCTGATAAATTAATACAAAAAAAAAGAGAGAAATATATGCGTATGTATATGTATATTTTACAAGAAATTAGTCTCGTGAGACGTTCATTTGTAGACAATAAGGTACTTTGGAAGCGTGGCCTAATTTCATGAAAAAAAATCACGTTAGTATTGGGTAATCGTAAGTAATAAATAATATTTCGAAGGAAATTTGCTCAACGTACAGCGTCCTTGTCGACAATCAATATTGAGCCACCCACAGGCGCGATTACATCAACCACAAATATTACTTTCACAGAGGTGTTGCTACAATAACCTTGCGATGTGCTTGAACTATTCGCAAACCACATTTCTAAGAAAGAAAGGAGAAAGGTCGGAATTTTTTTTTTGAAAAAGACAAAAAAAAAATCAGATTATTATTATTATTAATATTTTTATTATTTTTATACGTATTTTTATTTTTATTTTTTTAAAAAAAAAACTTACGGTGGCTGTAACGAGAAAATTTCGTTTTGTTGCCTTCTTTGGCAATACCACAAACTCCACAAGGCTTTTTACAAAAACCAGCTTTCTTTTGGTCGATAAACCGTTGTGGCTCGCAACCTAACCCATTCTTAGTACCATGAAACATTTTATGACAAACATTTAATTCCGGTACATTATTAACCTTGGAAGTTTGTATTTTATATTGTTTATGAGCTTTGACAAGTTTTCTTGGCATTTGTAAACGAACAATACCAAGAATTTCCTTATGTGGTAATCCAACAGAAAAGAATTTTTCAACTTCATTATACTCTTGATCCGTGGGAGAAAGTGTGGTCATTTTTGTCTTTTTGATCGATTTCTCTTTCTTTTTTTTAAAATCCTTTTCTGTTGAAGTTTCATAAGCGGAATCAACCTGTTCGCTATTTGAAGAATTTGTTGAATGATTATTAAAGAAACTACGAAATCTCCTAATGGATTTAAATTTCTTGTTAGACTTCTTCATTTCAACCGAACCTTCAAGGTTATCTTGATCGTTAGAAGAAATCATTTCAAATGAAGATGTGGAAATTTTATGTTTAAAGGCTGAACTATGATTTTTCCATGGTAAATAATTTAATGATTTCGATGAAGATCCAAATGTAAGTTCCGGCTCTATTGAATCCTCATCAGAGAATGAAGTCACAGAAGTTGAGGCAAAGGGTCGAGTAAATGAAAAAGGTGATAAATGAGTTGCAGAGGAAGATGAAGTGATAGAAGTTGCCGTTAAAGTTTTTCTCATTGGTATGACATTCGATTCACACTTTGATGAATTTGCTGGATCTGGTAGAGGTTTAGAAAGATGACACTTTTCGCTACAAAATGAATTAAAATTTTCATTTGTGCATTCATTGTTACATCCTTGTAGTTGACATTTTGATTTGTTAATGCTCTTTCCATGGTTATTCTTCTTAAAGACACCTAAAAAGTTTTCAACGCTGATTTTCCTTCGAAAGGAATTGGTGTCATTCGCAATTTTAAGGGTGCCCTCTTGAAACATTTTTATTTGATTATGCGGTGATGCGATAAAAGAAAAATGATGATTGATGAAAAAAAAATAAATGAAAAAGGTAGTTGGAGTGATTAAATTTTGGTCAAACAAACGTCGTTGCTTAAATATTTATATCTTGGCAGGACGGGGTCCGATTCCAAAAAAAAAAAAAAAGGGTTATCGAGTTTGGCACTCGTAATCGACAAAACTATCCCTTTCGAGAAGAAAGATTTGATGGAATTAATGGAAAGATTCTCCGAACTCGATTTCCGAAAGAATGGTAACACTAGGTGTCAAATCTTTTATAAAAAAGATTTGAGGAAATAAAAAAACTAAAGAGGGAAGGTAAAGAAAGAAACGATAGAAAAAAAAAAAAAAAAAGCAATTTTAATATCATTATTGTAATAATAAAGAAAAACAAATAAAGATCTATAATAACGAATGAAGTTTAGGTTTTTGTTTAAAGCATGTTGATCATCATTTGATTGTAACAAAAAGATGTTTCGTGCAACGTTAGAAGACATCATTCGGCAGGATTGTTTTACCTCGTGATTTTCCTCGTAGTAAACAGAAGGGGAAATTTTAAATTTAATTTGTGTTCACATTCTGCAAACAAAATGAAAATAACAACTTTTTCTTGAATTTTTATTTTGTTATCATGTGTAACCGTAATAACTGTAAACAATATGATAATATTTATAGTTCCAGATACTATAAACAACTTTTTCTTGCAACGGGATTTCAACTCCTGATTCCATACACTGTAAGTCTTATTTAAAACGTTTTCCGAATGACACGAATCTTATGCAAGGAAATTCTGTAAAGAACTTCCCACTCCGAATGTTCCTCGATCCTGATTGGCCAACTATCCTCTATTTTTGGTCCAAACTATAGAAGCGTGTGATACCAAACGAAAACAAAGAAATAAAGGAGGATTTTCTCATCTGATTTTAATTTAATACATCATCTCTTATGGTTTATCATAAATTGTTGGTTATCGAGCAAATCAACGTGTAATTTTTCAAGTTGGATTTAATAAAGGGCGGCGTAAATCAAGCAAACAAAGAATAGTATCCCTTTATGATAAATATTTTTATTTTCTGCTTTTACGCCATTTTTATCGATGAGTCACATGATCGTCAAAAAGTTGACGAAATTTTCCCAAGGAAAAATTAAAAAAAAAAGTAAACGTATGATTCGATCTATTTGTCATTATTTGATAATTGAATTCATTGAATTCAATATTGTTTTTGTCAGAATTGCTAGATAGAATCCAAGAGGATATTTAAGGATTCCTAAATTTCCTCTCACAAAAAGGATTTTCAACATTTGAAACCTTTCTTTTTTGATAACATAAATAAATTCTCGTACTTTTCAAATTTAACATGGTAAAAAGGGGAAGTTCTAACAGTAGTGGTAAAGGCAGTGGTGGAAACCAAACCGTTTCTTCTGCAAAATCTTCAGCAAACGCTCGCTCGAACGCTCACAATCCAACCGCTAAGGCTTATAATCCAACGGTTCGTAGTAACACGGGCGCCTCTCTTATTCTTCCAAAGGATTTTGATTACTTGCGGATATTATATATATATATACAGTATATGTTAAATATTTTATTATTAACGTTATCTGCTTCAAAGTGATTACATAATTGTAAAGCGTCGGCCAATAGAAATCTTTAACACTACCAGTTACGGAGTGCGAATTAAATGTCAGTATCTTTCAACGCGATATGACATCAGTTTCTCATATTTGTAATACAGGAATGTTTATTTAATTTAAGTCTGAATTAATAAATGGTTCTTGACACATTAATAAAACTTTAAGTAAAGATTAATCCGTGATTCAACGTTCTTGTCATGAAAGGATAGTAGTAATTTCAAGTTTATAAATTTGAACACGTGACTATTTTTTTTGAATATTTGAATTTCTTTTTCATATAAATAAATTCTACTATCAAGTCCTCGGAGCGAACAGTCAAATTTGCCAAAAATATGTTAAAAATGTTTCTAAAAACAAAAATAAGACTTATTTCATTTGATGTATAAATACATAATAAATCCATCTTAAGAACTCGAGAATTATGATAGTTGTGTATATATAGTACTAAATTGGTTTCATCGAATTTGTTTTTTTTGCCATTTTTCCAATTTGTCAGAGAAATTAGTAAATGCTTGATCATGTGACTAAATTTAGATTTCGATCTACATGTATAATCTCAACACACCTAAAATAAGGCATCAAAAAAACAACCTTTTTACCTTTTTGTGCATAAACTGTTTTTGACTTTTTCCCCAAAAAACATTTTTAAAAAAATCATCTTTGGTAAAATGTATCAACGTCTCAGTCACGGTATATTCATTATTTAGTTTTGTTGATACAAGAAAATTATACAAATGTTTAATTTTTTTTTCCTTTAACGTAACCTTCTCAGAGAGTTCGGGTTTTGGCTCTTTTTTTGAAGGAAAGGATAGCACGACACGTGATGTAAGTTTTTGAAATAAAATAAAATTTTTTTTTCTGTTAAGGCCATGTATATCATATTTTTGACGTGTATATATTGAACAAATGATTTAAAGGATGAACTTGTCGAATTTAATGATTTCAATGAAAGAAATGAAAGAATAAACATGAATATCAGCAATACACTTGATTGTTATATTAGCCGTTTTGACGACCAGGAAGGTTTTGTCGCGAGCGAAACTTACAGTGATGATTTTGCCAAGAATGATCCTTGCACTATTCCTAGCTACAATCAGGTTGCTTCAAGCTCAAGTAATTCTTGCACCAGTGCTGTAGGTTATCTTCGTGGTTCTTGTACCAGCGTCGATAGCAACAAGGAATCTTTAATCTCCAGCAATTCTTGTGGAGACGATGTGGCAGAACATGAAACGAGTTTTCATTATCCTAATCATGATGATTATGATCCCTCCAAAGAAATTTCCAATCATAAAAATTCTCGGAAATCACAAAATCGAAAATACAAATGTAATCAAGAAAATTGTGGAAGGACATTATCTTCAAAACGTTCCCTTCTAAAACATCAAAGGTTACACTTGGGATTTAAACCCTTTGAGTGCGATGAAATTGCTTGTGCGAAGAAATTTACCAATTTAAAAGGGTTAAAAACCCATCAAAAGATTCATACAAGCGATTGTCATTATAATTGTGAAGATTGTGGAAAGGTTTTCATGACTCCTAATCGTTTACGTCAACATATGAAAATTCATACCGGAGAACGCCCTTACAAATGTGAAGAGTCTGGTTGCATAAAGACTTTTATTTTGGCCCATCAGTTAACAGAGCATATTAGAACTCATACGGGTGAACGTCCTTACAAGTGTAAGGAACCTGGGTGCGGAAAGTATTTTGCGCGATCAAATATGTTGTCGCGTCACAAAAGAATCCACACTGGTGAACGTCCCTACAAGTGTAAGGAACCTGGATGTGGAAAGTGTTTTACTCGATCAAATATGTTGTCGCGTCATAAAAGAATTCATACGGGCGAACGTCCCTACAAGTGTAAGGAACCTGATTGTGGGAAGAGTTATATTCAATGGGGTCATTTGCAACGTCATATGATAAGCCATACCGGTGAACTTCCATACAAATGCAACGTACCTGGATGCGAGTTGAACTTTCTTCGATCTTATGAATTAAAGAAACATATAACATCTCATACCGGAAAATCATCGAATGATAATGATTCGAATCCCACATTATATTATGAGAAGGGTAATGACTTGTCTCACAACGTAAGAAATTCCTTCTCGCCTTTGTTTAACATTTTATTATGTGTATCAACTATTGAATCATTTCACATTTTCATCAGACGGGAAAGGAATTCTTTATGGTGGATTATAGTGACACGGAAATTGAAACCATCGTAGATGATGTCAGTAGTGATACGATCGAACCTGATGAGTTGGATTTCGAATCCGATAGCGATGAGAGTGATAACGTCGATACAGGAATTGATGGCCCCGCAAAAGTTTCTGGAATATCGCAGCAAAAGAAATACAGATGTGACCAAGCTGGTTGTAGAAGAAAATTTTCTTCTATATCCATGTTTCAGCATCATCAAAAAATACATTCAAGAGAGAAACGTTATGTGTGCAATGAACCTCTTTGCGGGAAACGATTCTCTCTGAAAAGCTATTTGAAAATTCACATGAGAGCTCACACCGGCGAAAAGCCATATAAATGTAAGGTATCGGGTTGCGGAAAGAGCTATGGTCGATCTAGTCATTTATCGGATCATATGAGAAAACATACCGGAGAACGCCCGTACGCCTGTGATTTCCCTGGCTGTGAAAAAAGATATTCTCGATCTGGTCATTTAACAGATCATATGAGAACTCATACTGGTGAGCGTCCATACAAATGTACTGCGTTGGGATGCGGGAAGAGCTTCATTCAATCCGGTCATTTTACTCGTCACATGAAAAGTCATGATGAAAAAGTTTCATTCATATGCGATCAACCTGGCTGTGAAGCCAAATACTCTCAATCCAGTTTTTTAAGGAAGCACAAGAGAACCCATATCGATGGATATTATTTTCCTGAGAACAAGTCATTTGGATGCAGGGTACCAGGATGCGGCAAGAACTTTACTAAACTTTATAATCTAACGCGTCATATGAAAGTTCACACTGGTGAAAAACCATATAAATGTGATGAACCCGGCTGTGAAAAAAAATATGCTCAATCCGATCATCTAAAAGATCATAAGAGAATTCACACTGGCGAACGACCTTACAAATGTAATGAATGCGAGAAGAGCTTTACTCGATCATACTATTTAAAAGACCACACGAGAATTCATACCGGGGAACGTCCGTACAACTGTGATGAATGTGGGAAGAGTTTTCCTCGATCTAATTACTTGGCAAATCACAGGTTAATTCATGTTAGCGAAAAGCCGCATAAATGTAAAGAACCTGGTTGCGAAAAGAGTTTTATTCGAGCGGATCATTTAAAGTACCATATGAGCAACCATACAGGAGAACGTCCACACGAATGTGAAGTACCCGAATGTGGAAAAAGGTTCTCTCGATTACAATCCTTGTTGAGACATAAAATGATTCATACTGTTAAATGCAACGAATTTATTTAAAGTGGATTTGGATTTTCGTCGTATACCTGTTGACATGGGAGAAAATTATATTCATGATGATCGAAAGAGATCAGAATTTTTCACAAACTGAAAAGAATAAGGGCGATCCTTCATCAAGACCATCCAAGGGTTAAAATCTTTTGAATTTTAATAATAAAATGATTTCTTTTATTCATATCTTAAATGTTTATTAATACTTTACATCCAAATATGAAGTTCAATGCTTTTAATTGATTCCATTTCTCGAAATGGAATTGTTTGGTTTTACTTTCACCATCAATTCTTCACAATGATTCACGACCGTTGAAGAATATTTTAAATCTCCAACCATATCCACCAATTCCACATCATATTTTCTATACAACAAAACCATCAATGCTTTCAATTGTAAGATTGCCAATTGTTTACCCATGCAAATTCTTGCACCGCCACCAAAATAAAGCAGTGCGTTCTTTGCAACTGATGGTTCAATAAAACGATCGGGATCGAATATTTCAGGTTGTTTCCAATGAGAAGGATTCATTTGTATAGCCGGAATATTTATCATAAATTGTGTGTTTTCCGAGAATTTATAACCAGCGATTTCATCGGGATTTGCTGATACGCGAAACAAGACTGAAACCGTCGGCATTAAACGTGAAACTGTGAAAATCGAATAAAGTAAATGTTAAATCGCAAAAAAGAATATTAGAAGAACAAAAGATCAACGACCTTCTTTAATGATTGCTTCGCAGTAATTCAGCCTGTTGACGGATTCATATGTAAGTTCGTGATTCATATCTTTTCCAAAGACATTTTCAATTTCTTGCAACATTTTCCGTTTTACTTCAGGATAATGGGTAAGATAATAAACCACATAACAAAACGTGTTTGCTGTCTGACAAGTAAATTTGCGTAAGTTGATGAAAAAAAAGGGGAGAAAAGGTTTTTTTTTTTTTTTTTTTTTGACATACCGTGTCAATTCCACCTCCAAGGATCTCATAGACGTTCTCTCGAACGTCGACTTCGCTCATCGGCATGGCATCCTCTTCAGTTGTTTTTGAATCCCGATTTGTGTTAATCGTTAAAAGTAAAGTTAACATGTCGGCACTTAATTCTTTAGCTGATTTAGCATTTTCAATTACTCTTTTCCTTTCTCTAATTAATTCTAACACTTTATTATTTAACCAAGCAACGGCTTCCAATAATTCCTTGGATTTCTTTCTATTACCCGGAAGAATTTTCCTTAATAATTTTGGGGTATCTTTAAAGAAAATGCAAGCAACAAAATGCAATCTAATATAATTTACAAGTTTTTCCGACTCTTTTAAAACATCCTCAAGGTCATTTGTACATACTTTTTCATCATCATTCGAAATATTTAAAGTGTTAAAATAATTAAATAAAGCATAAGATTTTGTATGTGTAATTAGGATAAAAACGGAATCAGTCATAAATCTCATCATCCAACTTGCCAAGTTCAATTTATTTGGGTATCCGACTTTTTCCCAATATTTTTCCATCTCACAAAATAATTCTTCGGTATTCTTTATAGCTTTCTTTAAAAATTTTGGAGACATCAACGCTCGCGACACAATTTTTCTATTATATTGCCAAGCTTTAACATTTCTATTAAATATAATTCCTCTGTTCGTCATATCCATTCTATCTAATCCTTCATTTTCGGTCGTACGATAAGGAAAATTATTTTGTGTAAGTGAAGGATTAAGTAATTTATGTGTAAGATTCGCATTCGAAATCCAAATTTGTCTGCTTAAAGAAAACAATCCACCCGAATATACTTCGAAAATATCGCCATATGTTTTGCGCAATTCGATTGCCCATTGCGATGCATTCGGACGATATGTTTCGATGTTTCCTATCAATGGAAATGGTATTGGACCAGGAATTTTATCTTTTCTCGTAAAGTATCGAAAATAGAATTGTAATACGTAAGATAAGATGACTAAAAAAATTAAGGAAAGGAAATTCGAAGCATCATTAAGGATGAATTTGATTGTCGAATGAAACTTCATGGTATAAAACACAAAAAAAAAATTACGTGCATGTGAAGAAAAAGTGATCAAACATAATTTTATATATTTTTAATTTTTCTTAATTTAGTTTGAATTCATTACCAATTTTCAAATTTTCACCAAATGCGGTACTGATTGACTGACGTATCCTTATTATAAAATCTTATATAATGAGTTGGTTTTCCCCTATACCGACTAATGTTTACTATGGAATGTAAGTAACCTATGCAATTTTTTCTTTTTTTAACTTTTTGTTTGCAAATTATGACCTTTTATTTAATTATGTTTATCATTTCATGTTAAATAGCTCAAAGCGAGTATTTGATAAAGTTCATTTAAGCTTTTTTTTTTTTTTAACTTTTTAAGCATCATTATAATCTTGTTGATATGTATGTAACCTTGCTTTTAGATATGAACCATTTAGGAAGATGTATGTCGAGGATCGGGAGGCCGTTTGTCGTAGGTCACAGGGGTGCAAGTGCTGCATATCCCGAAAATACAATGTTATCGATTGAACAAGCGATTGCGGATGGCGCTGAAGCTATAGAGTTTGGTATAGAATATTTTGAAATCCTTCAATTATATTAATAAATATTAAAAATAATTTTTTATTTTATTTTTTATTTTTATTTTTTTCCCAGACATTCGTCTAACTCTTGATAATGAGGTGGTGATCATGCATGATGCTTTGTTGGATCGTACAACAACAGGACATGGGTTGATATCCGACAAGAATTATTTTGGAGACATCGAATACCTCACTACAAAAAAAGAGCCACATTGCCCGATTTCCCGATTTCAAGATGTACTTGATCTTCTTTCAAAAGCAGAGAATTCTCACATTTGGGCCGTAATTGATGTTAAGATACAAAACTCCCCTAAAATTCTTATAACGTTGAGTGAAATCTTTAAATCACGCAATAAAGATTTTTCCGAATTCTCTAAACAATTTTCATTAGGAATTTGGCATCCAAAATTCATTCCGTATGCGAAAACTTATTTACCCGGAATCTCAATAGTATACATAGGCGTTTCATTAGACATAGCAAGAGAATATTTTAACAATGTGGACGGGTATAACATTAAATACATCGCATTATTTGGTGATCATGAACAAAAATTTATTAAGGAAGCCCACGCTAAAGGAAAACCCGTGTTTGCATGGACTGTTAACGAGGAAGTTCATGCAAGGAATTGTCATAATTGGGGCGTCGATGCCATAATGACTGATCGAACCAAACTTTATGTGGACTTTTTTAGAGACCAAAGGCACGAAGAGAGATCTCTAAGCATTGAAAGGAGGAAATACATGTTTGGTCAACAAAGTTGGTTCTCATTATTATTTAAGTTCGTATTAAATGGGTGGCTTTACTTGACTGGAAGATTGACTTTATATAAATTTCGTCATTAGATTCTAGAAAATATTTTTTTTTTCTTGTACTAACTATAATAAGACTTGTATTATCTATGTATCACAAAAAAAAAATATTTATTTATCGTAAAAAAATCATTACCTCCTTCAAACCAGTGTAACTTGCTTTTAAGCAATGTCATTTATTGATGTAATAAAATATTTGCTTTGGAACCTAACGAAATATGGGCTCGTTGTATTCACGCTTTATTTAGCCTATTTTTACTTTCGATACTTCTCTCGGTATAAACCGTTACCAGGTCCCATCCCTCTTCCTTTCGTTGGCAATCTTTTACAATACAGGGGAAACCCAGCAATATGGGCAAGTAATCTTCGAGAGAAATATGGAGATTTCTGCGAAATATATATGGGAAATGAACGTCACATATGGTTATCCAGGGCTGATCTTGTAGAAAAGGTATTCAGTCCTTCATTAAATAGTAATTATTTGATTAAGATCACGCCAAGGGAAGGATTAGATGAGATCGATGTAACTACGAAAGGGTTTACCTTTAATAGGAGTTTGGAGAGTTGGAGGTTTAATCGAAGATTTTTTAATCAGGCAATCAGTTCGTTGAAATTTATGAAACAGAACGTCATGATAACGCAGAACTTATTCAAAGAAATGGATGATTATTGGAGGGATTTAAGAATTCAGACGGAAAATACAAGTGGCAAAGAATTTACACTTAACTTATCGGAATGGATGACGAGATTCGTGATGGATGTCATGTTTGTTATAACAACAAATAAAAGAGTATATTCATTTGCTAATTATTTTAATCAATTATCTGGCACAAGGATGAGACAACATTCGGAAATTGACCTGGCCGAATCGGAGAATTTCGTTAATAATATTCACTCGTGGCTCTGCGCTTTACAATTTTATATGGATACACCTACATTATGGAGGAAATTTATTCCCCGAGTTAAAGAAAGGGCCGATTTCTTGAAGGGCGAAGTTGATCGATTGAATCATACTTATTTGGAATTAATTAGGCAGAGGAAAAAAGAGATTGAGATGACCCCGAATGATGAACAATTGACACCTGATATGCTGACGATGTTGTTGACCGTAAACACACCAAGAGATATTACGGTTAATCTTGCAGATGATCAACATACGAGACCCTTGACTGATGAGGAAGTTCGCGGAAATATCATGGAAGCCATCAGTGCTGGAGTCGACACGGTACATAATTCCTTTGGGATCATTTTGTTATTTTTTTTTGTGAAATCGTTTATGTACGAGGTTACCATGATCATATGAAATTATTCTTTGCAGACTGCAAATACATTTTGTTTTATTGTGTATCATCTTGGGCGTTACCCGGATGTCAAGGAACAAATGCTTAAAGAATTCAATTCAATCTTTGGAGATGATTTAAATCGTCCAGTTGAACACGAGGACTTGAATAAATTGGTTTATTGTGACGCTATCATTAAAGAAGGTATTTCTCGAAAAAAATATTTATCATTGATTTATATTATATTATGTCTTTTAACTCACTCAATTCCTTGATTGTCTTGAAGTTTCTCGGATGATGTCAATAGTACCGGTCATATTTAGAATGTCAATCAAAGATGATATGATACAGAGACATAGATTTTCAGCAGAGACACAAATTAATGTTAATGTACCAGCAATTCATATGCATCCAGCACATTGGAAGGATCCCGAAAAATTTGATCCTTCACGATTTCTGAACCAAGGCGTACCAGGTGGAAATAAGATCTCAAAGAACTCTCTATTGATTTTCGGTGGAGGGCCAAGGATGTGTCCGGTACGGTATTTAATTTTAGATTTTATTGTGAGTGTCAAAATTTTCTTTGGTTTTAAAATCTTTTTCGTTTTAAAAATAGGGAAAGAATTTAGCAATGACCGAATTGAAAACTTTGATGGTCTTGCTGTACAGAAAATATGATGTGGAATTAGTTGACATGAATGAACCTGTTAAATATCATTATTCTGTTATAAAACATTGTGATAATTTAATGATTAAGATTAAAGAGAAAATTCTTAAGTAGGATGCAAACTTTCGTCATTAACGTCACGTCACGTAACGCGCGCACGTCGCGTCACAATTATACACCAAAAAATTCATTTCTTGTATTTCTTGTATTGTTCATCATAAATTTTGTTATTTCAAAAGATTAAATTTTCACGTTGGAAGCGAAAAAAAACTTATTATCAAAGTCAAAATTTTTCTAAACGAAACATTAAAAAATTTTGTGTTTATCAAATAGAAAATTAAAATTGTTTTAGAAATTTATTAACTTGAATATATTAGTGTGAAAACATTATTATTATAGAAAAGAAATATAACGAATTATGTGATTCGAATAGTAGAAATAGTTTGTAAGAAAAAAAAATATTAAAGAACATGAAAAAAAATATTATTTCTATTTTACGCAAAAGAAAAGGAATTATTAAAAGAATTTACATAAAAAACCCAAGGAAAAATTAATGTCACAAAAAAAAAAAAAAGTCCAGAAGAAATGTTTTGAAGGGTTGTTTTCGTCTTTACTCTTCTTCTTCTTCTTTGTTCTTTGGATTTTCAGGCGCGTCTTTCCATCTTTGAGCAGCAACCTTAAAGGCTTCTCTGTGAGAAATATTAGGGTTATCGACCTTTACTTTGGGGAGTTCGGTTTTCATAAACTTATTGTAAGGTGAGATTGCTCGACCTAAAATAAAAATAAGAAAATAAAGAAAAAAAATTTTTATTAAACGCGAGAACTTTTTTTTTTTTATAATAAAAGAAGTGAAAGATAAGTTGTTATATGTACCAGTTGCTTTCTTTGCAGCCTTTACTTTTGCCATGATTTTTTATTATGTGTGTGTTTTCTTGTTACGTGTAGAAAGAAAAGTTTTGGAAAGTGTTTAACGTTATAGTTATTATAGAGGGTTGTTATTGTTTGAGTTGGCAATTTGAAAAAAATTTAAAAAAAAAATTTGAAAGGTGAAGTGAAAAAAAGGCTTATTTATAATCAAAAATCGCGACGCGTATTATTATAACGCGTTATGACTGTTTTTCGATATTTATGATTATAGATAGATAGGGGGCGTGTGATACGTGATCAGCTGAAATAATCGATTAATTGATTACATCACATTTTGATTGGTCATTTACATTCTTTCTTGAAATTTATCGAAAATGCCTGAAGTAACAGGAAAACCACAAATCAAAACTAGGTAAGAATTCCGAATTCATTTATTTTTGTTATAATATTTTACCAATATTCTGGTTACATCAAATATTTTAATCAGTAAATTTCATTAATTTCTGGGGGATACGTATTTGGATCGAATTTTTTTATTAAAAAAAAAAAAAAAAAAATGAAGTTTTAAGGTTACACGAACGATTGAATCATTATTTACTGGTGGTAAAGCAGCAATTACGCCGGATGAACAATATTTGATTACAACGATTGGAGAAGATATTGATGTTACGGAGATTCAAAATGGAAAAAGATTGTTTCGTTTAAGTGGAGTACGTAATTTCATCATTGATGATTTTTGATGAAATTTATAATTTTCCGCTTATTTGAATTAATTCTATCTTACCTTGATTATCAGGATACGGAAATAATTACAACGTTCGCTATAACACCAGATGGTAAATATTTAATAAGCTCATCTCGTAGTCTAACAGTTAAAATATGGGATTTGGAAACAGGAAAATGTATAAGATCATTCAAGGTAACTCGTCATAAAAAAAAGGTTGTTTCTTTAGGCATTATTTTAAAAACAAATTCTTATTAGTTTTCCTTTATTATTCTATTAGGCTCATGAAGCTCCTATAATTGTAATTGATGTTGATGGAACATCAACACTAGTTGCAACGGGATCAGCTGATAGTACGGTAAAAGTATGGGATATCGAAGGAGGGTTTTGTACGCATAATTTTCGTGGACATGGAGGAATTATAAGTTCGTTGAAATTCTGGAAGGAGAATTATGGATGGATGCTGATTTCCGGTTCTGACGATTGTAATATTCGTATATGGGATTTATCAAAAAGAAGGTAATCTTTCCCCTGTGGAAGGTTTTGATTTGGAGATATAATTTCAATACTTTTTTTTTTTTTTTTTGTGGAATATTTTAGTTGCGTGGCTGTGTTGAAAAGTCATGTTAGTATGGTTCGTGGATTGGATGTTACGAATGATGGCAAATATTTATTAAGTGGATCGAGAGACAAAGTTGTAAATATTTGGGACTTGAATAAGAAAAAATTGGTTAAAACATTTCCCGTATACGAGGTATATATGATTTGTCATTTTTTTTTTTTTTTTTTGTTTTTAAAGAAAATACAAAATTTAATGTTGTTTTCTTTAAGACTGTAGAAACGGTAGGAATTTTAGAACCTAATACTATAATATCTGAAATTGAGAATAATTGTGGAAAAGAATTATTTTATACTGGTGGCGATAAAGGTATTATATTTATTAAGAACAAAAGAATTTTTTTATATCAGGATTTTAAAATCTTTATTTTATTTTATTAGGAATTATTAGGATATGGGATCTTAAAACCGGAAACCTTGTCAAAGCACAGGATCCCGAAAAGAATACTAATTACGGGATCTCGGAAATAATGTATGAGGAAATGTTTGAATAAAAAAAATTACAATTAGAAAATATTTTCCTTTAACCTTAATATAATATTTTCCCTTTAGATATCTTCGTAAAAGCGATTATTTAACGGCCGTGACAACAGATCATAATATATTATTTTACAACATATCATCCGGTTTACGTAGAATAAAACAAATTATAGGTCACAATGATGAAATAATCGACCTCGTCTATGTAGGTCCAGAGGAATCACTCTTGGCCATAGCAACAAATACTGAACAAATTCGGTTGTTAAATGTAGATTCATTTGACAATAGTATTATCTATGGACATAAAGATATAGTGATTTGTTTATCAAAATCTTTTGATGGTAGATTTTTAATGTCTGGATCAAAAGACAACACTGCAAGATTATGGAAAATTAATATTGAAGCAAACGAAGCTGAGGAAATCGTTAAACCATGCGGAATTTGTATTGGGCATACTGGATCTATTGGAACCGTTGCTTTACCCAATAAGAGTCTAAAGTTTTGCATAACTGGAAGTCTAGACCGTACTGTGAAATATTGGGATTTATCTAAGACAGGTAAGTTTATCCTGATTAATTGAGTTTAATGTGATTCCTGAGGTTAGATATTTAGATATTCTTCGCTTTGTTATAGATCTGTCAAAGTGCGATGAAGAGTACAGGCCAAAATCGTTGTATACGCACCAAGCACACGAAAAGGATATAAATTCAATATCTATTTCACAAAATGATAAAATGTTTGCATCTGGATCACAAGACAAGACCATTAAAATCTGGTCAGTCGCTGACGGAAAATTATTAGGAACTTGTATAGGACATAAAAGGGGGGTTTGGTGCGTACAATTTTCACCTGTTGAACCCAATATCGTTTCAAGTTCTGGTGATAAAACTATCAAAATTTGGTCAATAAATGATTTTTCTTGTTTAAAGGTATGTAAATGATTTCAAAAAATATTTCTTAATCTGTCATTTCTGTTCTGTTAAAATCTGAATTTTTAAACTATTTTTTAGACGTTTGAAGGACACACAAATACTGTGTTAAAAGTATCATTTTTAACTTCAGGTTTGCAACTAATATCAAGTGGATCTGACGGATTAGTTAAATTATGGAATTGTAAATCAAATGAATGTGTGACTACGCTGGATAATCATACGGAAAAAATTTGGTCTCTAACTGTACGAAAAGATGAAAGATTCATTGCTTCGGGTGGTGGTGATTCCTTAATAAATATATGGCAAGATTGTACTGCAGAAGAAATGGAAACTCGTGTTAAAGAAGAAGAAGAATTAATTTTAAAGTGAGTTGGGCATTTAATGAAATTTTTTTTTTTTGAACCAATTGTTAATTTAACTTTCTTTTTACATTTAGGGAACAAGAATTGTCAAATTATCTGTTAAAGAAAGATTATAAGAATGCTATTATGCTTGCTATTTCATTGAATCAACCGTTTAAACTTTTAAAGTTATTTACCGAGGTTCTAAATAGCAGAGCTGAAGGTGAATTTATATTACCCTTAAGTTGCCTTTTATTTATTTATTTTAATGGAATCTTAAATAATTGTTTTCTATATTTAGGTGATGATAGCATCACAGGTTCTGAGTCAACAGATGAGATAATTGCGACACTTTCAAAGGAAAATCTTGAACAACTATTAAAATATATTCGAGATTGGAACACTAATGCAAAAAATTACCATACCACTCAAACTATTTTATATGCTATCCTCAAATCTTTTTCATCTCAAGATGTATTGAAAATTAATGGAATTAAGGATGTAAGTAACTTAACTTTATAATGGAAATTGTGATTTTATTAGAAATTAACCTTTTATTTTTAAAATATAGATATTGGATGGAATGGTATCATATACTGAAAGACATTATCAACGTTTAGATAAATTAATTACGGATTCTTATATTATTGATTATTCATTACATTCCATGGATTTGTTGGATCCTTTAGAACAAAATCCAATGGAAGATTAAAAAAAAAAAAATTGAATAAAATATTTATTTAATATTATATATAGATTTTTATATAATAAAAATGATTTATATCAAACTTTTATCATTATAATTAAAATTAAAAAGTTACATATATTTTAAATAATAGCAAAATTATAAATAATATTAATTTTAAGAAAATTGTAAAATCTTATCATAATAAAAAAAGAAAAATTATATCATAAATAATTAAAAAAAGCAATAAAATATATTTATAATAAATTAAATTTATATAATACTATCTATTAAAAATTATATTGATTATATATGAATTTATTAAAAATTAAGAAACAGTGATTATTGTTAAATCTGAAATGATCTTAATTAAAAAATATTATAAAAGCTAATCAGCATCAACTTAATTATTATGTGAACAGATATCTGAACATCTTGAGTTATACTGTATAAAAATATATAATCTTATACTAACACTCTAGATTAATAATCTAATAAAATTTAAAGTAAAATAATTTAAAGATATTTTTATAAAAATATATATTATTATTATACAGTATATATTTATTAAACCTTTCTCAAAATTCCTTTATCATTTCTTTTATAATTTTTAAATTAATTTTTTAGTTTTAGTTATTATCATATTAAAAAAGTTTGTTATATCCTTTACTTTAATTTTAATATAATTTCATTTAAGTTTGATTATTATTAAAAATTTTATCTTTTATCTATAATAATTATTTATTATTATTACTGAATTATTGTAACATAATTAATCTATATACATAGTATAAATATTTAACCTAATTAATATAATTAACATATCTGATATATTTGACATATTTAACATATTTAATATAGTTAATATAAGATATAATTTAAATAGTTAAAACATCTTATTTTATGTAATTAAATATACATATATATAAAATTCAATTATTTATGTAGAAAATAAATCTTTCTTATCAGATTTCTTTTAGTAATTATCTCTTATTACACTTAAGCTATAAGTAATACTTAATTAATTATGAATTACCCTTATTTTTAATTTTTTTTTATTATTATTTTTCTTTATATTTTTCTTAATAATTGTTTATATTATTCAACTACCAATTTTTTATAATTTATTCTTAATAATAAATTATTATATAAAATATAAACTCTTAAAATTTTATTTAAAATAAATTACATATTTTACTATGTAACTTAAAAAGAATCAACCCTAATATTCTATGTAACTATCATAATTTATGAAAATTACACATTAACATTTTATATAATTTTATATATAAATAAAAAGGTAAATTACTTATTAATAATTAAATATATTTAAAATCTAAAACATTAAAATTTACTAATTTTAAAAAGAAATTAATTATATATTTTTTTAAAAAAATATTAATTAAATACTTAAATAAATATTATTATTATTATTATTATTTACTTATTTTTTTTAAAAAATTTTAATAATTTAAATAATTTTAAATAATTTACAGTCAACTCTTGATATAGCGAACTCTTGATATAACGAATTTTTTGAACAAATATAATAAAAATACTCTTGTTATAGCGAATTGACCAATCAAATCTCTTAAAAATTTCACTATAGCCTTATAACAAAGTTGAGGTCTAGGACATAAAGTTCATTATAATAAGAGTTAACTGTATATTTTTAGTATTTTTAAATAAATAATTTTATTTTAATTTATATATTATATTATCATAAAAATAAAATAATTATATAATTAATTCTTAAATCAATAAAGAATTATAAATACAATTAATATAAATAAATAATAAATAATTAAATAAATTAAGATAAATATAAAGGTATTAATTATTTATTTTAATTTAATAACAAATAAATATCATTATATTATAAATATTATAATGTTATATAAAATTAAATTAAACTATCAAAAAAATCTTTTTTTACTAATAAGAAGATTATAGTTATATTTATATATAAAATAATTATTAAAAATTTAAAAGATTAAATATTAAATATAATGAAAAAAATATAAAATATAAAATACAATATAAAAAATTATATATTATAAAAAAATAAATATAAAATATCATAGTATTTAATTTAAATCATTTTAAATCATTATCTTTATTATTTTATATTAATAAATAAACAATAAAAAAAAATTCTTTTCTAAAATAATTTATCTTTAAATTTCCTTAAAATTCCTATAATTTAAATAATAATAATAATGATAATGATAAAAAGAATATAAAAAACATTTTTACATATTATTCTTTTTTATAATTTATAATTTTAAATAATTAAAAAAATTATTTTTTATATTAAATACTATACTTCATATATAAAAACATTTTTTAAAAAAATTATTTTAAGATTAGATTTACTTGATCGTCATGAAAAATACTTATTTATCGTTCTAGTTATGTAAAATGAAAATTTTAATTATTTTAAAATAAAATATATTTAAAGTTCATTCAAAGAATTGGGCTCATGGCCAAATGGATAAGGCGCCTGACTACGAATCAGGAGATTCCAGGTTCGACCCCTGGTGAGCTCGGATTATCTTTTGCCATTATTTTGTGAACTGATGATGGCATATCGTGTCACTTTAAATTTTTTTTTTCACGTAACTAAGAGATGCCTTTAAAAAATTTTGAATTCGAGATATGATTTACATTAATAATTAAAAGTCTTCATGTGCAATGTGAAAGTGCGAAATAACTTTTTTTTGCATCGAATTGTCAATGACCTGCTCATTAAAATAAGTTTTTTAATTTTCAGAGGAAAAAAAAAAAAAATTTACAAGTTTTCAGTTGCGGGTTGGGTGGATTGAACACCCGACCTTCAGATAACAAATGAACTTCAGTCTGACGCTCTCCCAACTGAGCTAAACCCGCTACATTCCTATAAAGAAAAGATTTCGGTTTAATTTATAATAATCTTCCAAAAAGAAAACTTGCAAATTGTGGGGATCGACAGAAAATCAGTCCTGATTAAAAGTTAAAACGTGAAATCTGAAACCATAAATAAAAATATTTTTTTCTAAAGATGAAAAAAATGGACCCAATTAATCTGTCAAACAAGGATTTTCTTAAATACATGGAAGGAATAGAAGAGCGAGCAAAAAAGATGCATCAAGTTATAATAGAAACCAATTCTCCTCCTACGACTCCACTTCCTCGTTCACAAAGAATGCAACCTTATTCTCGTTTTCGTGTATTTTCTTCGAAACCACAATCACGACTGAAACCTGTCGACTTGGAGATTGAAAAAATCTTATCTCCCAAACGCAAGTATGCTTTACAATCTCCGTCACCAACCGCGCCCGATACACCCGATACACCCGATCAACTTACTTTGGGGTCACCATTACGATTACATAAACGGTCATCCGCGCAAGTTGACAATCAAGTGTCGAAACAAGATTCCAATTTTCAGCAATCCACTTCTCAACAGTCACCAGTCCCCGATACGTCAGATGATATTGATCAGATTGCACAAGACGAATTAGAAATACTTCGCCTTTTTCGTTTTTAATACAATATTATATAGCATGTAAATTTCATCACCCAATCAGGGTTAGAAAAATTAGATATAACCCGGTAATTCTACTATGGTTTTATATTGTTCTTTTTTTTTTTTCTTTCTTTCACAAAATTAATAAATGTCAATATAGAAAGTTCGAATTGGTAGGTTTCTAAAAACCAATTTCGTAATAAGATCACAACGAGTTTTTAATGTTTAACATTTTATAATAAGAGATCATAGGAATTAACTTCTAAGATGTAATTAAAAAATACATTTATCGTTATGAATTTTCATTTTATAAAGTTTCGATCAAATAAATAATATTATATTGATAGTATTTTTTAGGATAATACGCCTAGAAATTGAAATTATTCAAATTCTCAACAAAAGGAATCCGAGACATTTATTAAGTTGAAATAATAATTAAAAGAATACAGTGATATGATTTTAGGTATGGTCGACGGTTACAAAAGAAAGGAGCTGTTCACCTGATTCTTCAATGGATATAATTGTCTTGAAATCAGTATTGCGAATTCCGGATTTATAGGTTGTAATTGAACATATGGGACCTTTGCAATAGAAAGGGGGGAAACTGCCGGAATAAATCAATTTTACATGCCAAATATAATTTTTAGGTCAAAATATGTTCAGATTTAGCATTAACTCATTTCTTATTTTTTCCAGCCGTTTCCCCCTTTTCTATTGCAAAGGTCCCATATGGTTTCATTTTCCTAAAAAGCATGCGATTAAATTTGTCTTCATTGTCTGATTCGATACTCGATTTCAGAAAAACATATCATCTTGATAGAATCAAAAAGATCGGCCGTAGTGATTCTCCATTGCAGGTTCAAATTCATTAGCAATCAGAAAACCTTAGCATAGATCTCGCATTGGTAGTATACGGGTCAATCTAACTAACTTAAACGTATAATCATTACCAAATTGACTGAAAATATGTTACTTTAAAGCAATTAAATAAAATTATTATAATAAATTATTGTAATATATTAACCAACGTACCTGGTATTTTTGTGGTCTGATACATTGATTTCTATCATGAATAGTATGTTCTCGACAATCCATCTATTTCCCTATTCCTGCTATGAGTTTGACAAGTAGCATTTCTAGGTTGATGAAATAAACGAATAATTTGAATTACCGTTATTATGAAGAGATTCAACATCTTTTATGATATTCAGACAAAATGGAATCATATAATACTTCAATATATAATATCTTTAACTATGTCATTATTCATAAGTCCCAGTTAATTTTACTTAATTGAAGTCCTTTATTTAAATAATTTACGATTTTGCTGCTCTACGTAGGAAATGAACTGACAAATTAAGGACAGAAAAATACTTAACCCCATCTCTATTTACAACTGAATTAAATTTTGCATTTGTATGTGAATAAATTCTTTTGCTTATGTTTTCATGTTTTTTTTTAAAGTTTATCAATGTTTCACAAAAAATCTCGTTAATCGTCATACTCATTTCTTCTGTGT